CTTTTGAGTGTATTAAAATTTGACCCTCATCTAAGATATATTTCACACGTTTCAAGAGTACAATCATTTTATAATTCTATGTCAAAGTATCATTGAATTGTTCCACATCAAGCCATCTCTAAAAACTACTCTATTATCATTCTTTTTTTCTACTCTGTTATCTTTCTGCGTATATAGTATCGGTCTGCTTTTGATAAGTGGTTTTTCAACTTATAAAAATAGTTACTAATATAATATGAAAGTCTAGCTTCTTGGTCTTCAGGCGGTCTGAAGTTGTATTGGACAAAAAGATCTTAAAGAGTCCCCTTTCCTGAACAACCCCCCAAGAAAAAAAACAATTAGTTGCTTTAGTCATTTACTTTTTAATTAGTCTTGTTGGGTGGGTGGGTGGGTGGGGGATAGTGTGGTGCCAGACTGTGGGCTTGGAGATGGGTTGGTGGGATGAGTATTCTGGCTTTATTGATATCTTATTCTCTTTCCATATTAATTTGGAGAATGCTAATGTCTTTGTTCTCGATTCTCTGTGCTAAACTTTGTAGGTGCGCCGTTTCCACCCAACTTCAAGGATGTTGTCAAGACAATTTTTAAGCGTCTCTTTCGTGTGTATGCACATATTTATCATTCCCATTTTCAGAAAATTGTGAGTCTTAAGGAGGAGGCCCATTTGAATACGTGCTTTAAGCATTTCATACTCTTCACCCATGTGAGTTATCTGAATCTCTTCCTTGTGCACATTACTAGTATATCTTTCTTCCAAAGTTTGAAAACATGTTAATTGCATGTATATGTCCAAATTATTGATCAAATTAATGTCGTGTTACCTTTGTTGTTTTTTCTGGTCGTTTATTAAACTTTTCAAAGGATTATGTATAGAAAAGTAAAGAATTGATATCCTAGTACACAACTGAGGGGATTTTTTTGGTCTTACTATGGAAGTCCATCATTCACTAGTTTAGTGATTCTTGTTTGTTGCTGAACGAAGGTACTATTGTTCACGAGGAAACAATTTTAAGCTTCAATAATGGATGGCTCTCAAATCTAGGAGGAGTAGAAGATCTTGAATATTTATTCAAAAAATGTCATTTAAAACGAATGAGTGAGGATATGTATGATTAAGTTTATAGCTCTCATCTCATATTGGTTAAGGTGCCCCGAGGGCTTAGGTCAAGTGGCAAAGGTTGAGTATTCGTGATGTAAACTAGATATTCGAGCCCCGCGCCATGTGAACTGAACTTAGTGTTTAAGTGAAAAAGTGTATAGGGGTGGACCCGTTATCCAGAGTTTCAAATGTTGAGGTAGGTTGGCCCAGATTTCTCGGTTAAAAGAAAAAAGAGAAGTATTTATGAAGGCAATGCCTTTAATATAAATGCAGGTCATGTTCCAGATTAATTTGTTCTAACGATATTTTTAATGTTGAACTTGGTTAATTGCTTCTCTTTTAGGACTTCTGCTCAGTCAAATTAATAATATATTCTCTTTTATACTGAAAAGACTGAATAATGTTTGTTGTTGAGAATAAGAACATACTACTTTGTTGTCATTATAATACCATAACTGATAGTTGTTGGGCCATGTGCATGGAGGGAATGATCTTACAGATTCATTTCCTAGGAAGTTGGGTAGGTAGGAGGTGTGGAAGTCTTGTTTGCATAATGACACCTTTCAAACAAAGGTTACTCAGGTGTGGACTGTGGTTTAACTCTAAATAACCCTCGTGGAAAAGACGGGCACTCTGTGAGGTGTTGGACGTAGAAGCTAGGGAGGTTAGTAGAAACCTGGTTTGCAAGAAGAGTAGTAGTTTTCTGGTGTATATAGGGAAAAGGGAAGACAGAAGTAATTCCAACTCCGAGATGTGTTGGTTGACAATTGACATTAGCCATTCCCTGACAGACGTATTTTGAAGGAGGTTATGCGAGTTGGCTCTTGAGAACATAGGTTTTGCTGTACGTTGTCATCGTGCAACATAAGTTGTTCCGTTTATGGAGTTGACTGATAATTGTATATGTTTTATCTTGTAGGAGTTTGGACTGATTGACAAGAAGGAACTGGCTCCACTTCAAGAGATTATAGAATCCATCATCGTCCCATACTGAACAATCGTGATATTTCACTGTGCTGCTAAAGCTGGAACTAAATAGTGTAATGTAATGCAATAAAGTTTCTCGTGGTCATCCAAAGTGTATAGCCTCAGCTGACAATTTGAAGTGTCTATGAATGTATAATGGTTGTAGCTTTTTCTATATTGCTTTTAAGTAAAGTGCTTTTGTGACCCGTTTGGATGGGCTTAGTAAAAGCAGCTTTAAAAAAGTACTTTTGAAAGGACTGAAACTTATTTTTAAAATAAGCAGTTATGCGTTTGGATAAAAGTGCTGAAATTGTTATGCCAAATGTGAAAAAGGAAAAATGGAAGAAAGAGATATTGGGGTTATGTGGGTAATTTGGAAATTGTATAAAAATATTAAGGGCAAAAAAGATAAAAATGCGGTCAACTTAAAACAGCTTATAATTAAAAAAAAAAAAAGCATCCCTATCTCAGCTTTTAATTTTTGGCTTAAAATAAGTTTTTTTAACTTAAATAAGTTATTTTGAGTATTGTCAAACAACTAAATAAGTCAAAAATCAAATTTTAAGTCAGTTTGACCAGCTTTTAAGCTGAGCCAAATAGGCTCTAAACAAAGACCAAACAGATGGAACCTGGAGTTGAGAAATCGTCTTTTTATCTTACAAAGGTAAGGGTAAAATTTGTGTACATTCTACTGTTCTCTCTAGATCGCATTTGTGGGACTATGCTATGTATACTATTGTATGATTAGATAGGATCGAGTGATTTTGTTTAGCTATTATCGAAATAAATAGGTAATTGAACGGCTTATTATTTATATTTAACGACTTTGATACAATAATGTAAAAGTTCTGTGTCCCTTCGTGATGTCATCTTTATTTTAGGGGTGTATCTGGTAATTCGTCTGTTCATATTTAATTGTTATTGATTTTTTTTTATAGTGAAATCATAAGAATTTTGATCAATATCTTACGATGTATATTTTTATTATATTGATATACAAAAAGTTGTAATTTATAGTACTTAATGATGTAATTTCGAATATCTAATTATTATTATTTTTTAAAAAATTGAATTAAAGTAATTTATTTTAACTTAAAAAATTAGTCATATTAATTTTTGAAAATATGGTATGAAAGAATTTTTTGTTAACAAATAATAATTCATGATTGGATGGCTCAAACACTTGACTTTTATGTGCCGTTCTCTCTTTTTAATGGGTGTGTTAAAGTCAATCAGTAACAAATAAAAATGAACGGAATAAAGGGATTAATCTCTTAAATAGTTTTTAGGAATTTTATATTTAAGTTTATTAAAAGTGAAAACACTGATTTTCATCAAGAAATTGCAACAACTAAAACAGCACTAACACTAAAAATAGACTTTAAAAAAGGCATAAACTATACCTCAAAAGTCTGCAACAGACACCAAAAATTAGAGCTAAATTTCTAAAATTGAAATATGATTCACCTAAATGTGAGTTCCCCAAAAAAATAATTTTCCCCCCACAATTTCCACTAAATCAAACAATCAACATTAGTTAAAATTTTTTTTTTTTGACATACTTAAAAGATTAAAATTGTCCAAAATAGACTTGACCAACTATTGTAAACTTACCCCCAAATATAAAGAACCACTTATTTTCATTCAATTCTATCTTTTCATAAATTACCCAGGAATAGATTTTTAAGTTAGTTCTTCATTTTATTTTACAAATTTTTAATTACGTAGTAATAAAAAATTATGGGTAAAGCCGTTAAGATGGGCTAGATCAGTTGGGCTAGCCTGACCTAATTCGGGATTTAATAGGGTCGGACTAAGATTTTTGGAAGAAAAAGACTTTTTAGCTTAACCTGAATAAGATTAGTTGAGCTTGAGAAATATCGATATGGCCGGCCCGTGGATTAATAAAAATTAATTAAAAAATATAATATAATATGAAAATAAGAAATTAAAAAGAGTAAAAACTCAAAACTATCAAATTAATATTTCTATTTAGATATTTATACTTATACTTGAAAAAAACTTAATAAATATTATAAAAGATAATTTTATTGGTCGATTTGATTAACGAATAGTAACATTAAAATCATGTAATATTATTTTGTTGATATTTATGATAATATTTTTAAATTATAATTTAATTTTTTAATAATTATAAAAAATATAATTATTTTAAAAATGAATTAGCCCGGCAAGCCTCCACGTACTTGTGGGTTGAGCCGATCATTTTCTAGTCCACACAAAAAATGAACTGCCCACCCAAACCTATAAAATACCAAAATTTGTATGAGTTAATCCGGATAAAATATGTTAGCCAATATTGACGAATCTGATGGATACTTGCACACGTCTAAAAGCATTATACCTTTTAATATATGTTTTTTATTCCTAAACGCTTTTTCTTAAATAAAAAAAAAATGACATGATCGGTTGAATACTTTATTATAGACATCTACTTCTAGTCCATTCGAGACCGTCAAAATCTGGAGCAGGGAATTTGAAGAATTTTATCAATGAGTTGCGACTAATAGTAAATATCTGTTAAATAAAAACAATTTTTTAGTTAAAAAAATCCATCAAACATCAAAATTACTTTGAGAAGTCTTTCTCATGCACCACCAAACCCACTCCCACCAAAAAAAAAAAAAATTAATTTTATTTCATTTTTCACTTTCTTACTTTAAAGTTTGAACTATAATCAAATATTTATCGAAACACATCTCATCTGTTAGGTCTTCATTTTTTCCAACCTAAAACATTACAATTGTTCAGGTAAGAAAAACGAATAACTGATAATTGATACATATTTTAATAAATATATTAATGATAATTTGAATATGAAACTAAAAAAAAACTGATTACTATATATACATAGCAAATTTGGGGTAAACACCCGATGCGAATGAACATACTGCAGAGAAATGTTACAAGTATGTATGTTGTATGTAATCACCATAATTGGTCAAATTTATTTGTGCTTTGTTAAGCATAGTTACCAGCAACTACCTTAATTAAAGTAACAATACAACAATGGTCTCTACTTTTTTAAGGTCAAATTGACACTTACCAAGCTAGACAAATGAATAATTTAAGAGCAATATCCTCATTTAAGGCCTTTCCCTGACCAAAGAATATGTTACAAAAATGGCTAATGCTATTATCAATTTTCCTAACCATCAAGAGCCATATGAGAATTCCTAATATCTTTATGACTAGTCTCTGAAGCTGCAAAACCATAAGCTCCAGCAGTGGCAGCAAGGACAACAAATATTATGGAGAAAAGTTGGAGGTTTGCTAGCAACTCCCCTCGAACTTCGCTATCTTCTGAACGACACATGACATCGTTCCCTTTGAGTTGGCAACCGTCTGGCATCATAGGACCATACAGAGTGAATGCAGTTTGATAGAACCAAAGGCCTTGGAGTGCTACAGAAATGCCGCTAGCCAAATCAATAGGGAAACTGGTGGGCATAAGAGCTCCAGCGATAGTACTCAATATGCATAGGCCAATGAGGAGGACAAGGATAAGGTGATAGTACCCTTCGAGGCCTTTGTGGGTTGTGGAGTGGAAAAAGAACAAGAAATACTCTGCAGAGAATGCTGTGGCAGCGATCAAGCAGAGAGCTCCTTCAGGCAAGGGAAGAAAACTGAAAGACGAAAGCAAATTTATCGAGTTAAAGACTCTGATGGAGACAAACGGATAGTCATATACACAAAAATATTCAAAGTTGGGCAAGACAGTTCTTATATATGGAGATTAATACAAGATGAAAGTAGGATAACTCGTGTTGGAAATGACCCCCCAAGAAAGAGTAAGGTATTAGTCATATGCCAAAGCAATGAACATATGTAGTTGCTTCATTTTGATTTTCACTCACTCACCAAATGATAGTGAATAATGCAAAGTTCCAGTTTTACTAAATAAAGGATACAGAAACTGTAATTCCACTCTGAATATTTACTGAACTGCTGGAAATCAGTAGTCGCTTTAAGGAAGAGTTTCAACTCATTGCATGATAGCACAACTAATTCATGCATATCTTGTCTAAACCGATTCTTATCAGGCTTTGAAAGCACATGTGATAAGGTTGATGATGGTTATAGTCATCTAAATTTCTTTATATCCTTGTTCATTTCAGATAAAAACTGATTCCAAAACACGTCCAGGAGCATGATTTCCAAGGGCATAAAGAAGTAGGCAATCTAGGGAATCCGGACCCCTGTTCTGTCAGCCAGCAAGAAAGATGATAACGAATTATTGATGTGGGCGGAAGTAACATCAAAATATCATTAATTTAATCTTACATGTATTAGTTCATCCTGAAACTTTAGATCAGTCATGTGGTTGTATTAGTATTATTTTCAAGTATAAGCAATGTTCATTGACTTGCAGACTCAAGTCTCATTCTTCAGATCGATTCTAGAACTTGTGAATGGGACTACTCAGTTCAAGAACGTATTATCCTTTTAGAGAAATAAGAACGAAGAAATTGATTTCTTTTCTTGAGCATGGCTCAGTAATGATTCCAACTTCCAAATAATCAAATTTTAACACGATATATGACTAAACTCAGACTTGCAATTCCTACAACTGCCAGTAAAAGCTCTTTAGTTCAGCCAGTTTCCAACTGCCAGTACTTGTTATACTTAACTGGTACCACACTTATCTTGCTAGAAGAATGTGTTACAGTGCCTGCTTTGATAGCTTCCATTAACTTTAAAGGGTTGCTATTGCTTAAGACTAGAAATGCCTAAAGACGCGGATATCTAGAAAGAGAAAAATAGAAATAAAAAGATCCATAGGACAAATCAAGAAAGGGCAGTTAAAAGACTGGAATTTCGTCGTTGTCCCGGGGAGAGGGAACGGGAACCACCTATATTTGCTTGCAATCTGTCATTTTCCACTTTTCTCATGGCGATGGTGGAGCAGTCTTCCTCAAACAGGGCTTACATGCACATAATTATTTCAAAGGTATGGTTACTTGATTTGTGCGCAATAACCCAACTTGACAGTATGTGACTTACTTGACGATATTAGACCATCGTAATTCTTGACAAAATTGTATAAACAGCTATATTGATGCCTAAAAAAGAACTAAACAGTTTGTATGAAGTTCCAATAATTTCTAACTAGGCTGAAGAACTTAAAGTACTTCCCTAAATATGGCGAGAACATTAAGCAAAACTGAAAACTAAAAACTAAAAACTAAAAACTAAAAATGATTACAATAGGATATTGGACCCTCATTCAATCTTCTCATCATCTTCACATACAAAGAAAATGTTCCAAATATAAGTTCTTTACAAATAGAAAACCCAGACACAATGCCTCAATCATCAAATAATTACTATTGGAAATCAATCAAATTTATTATTTCACTCAACCTTCTATCATATCAAGCACCATAGCTAGCAACCTCGCAATTCACTAGTGATGACAGAGAAGGAAAAAGACTGGTTAACTAATTAGGAGAACGATTGTCTGGATCATTTCACTTCTATACTACCACTACGATTCGAATTTACTAACATATAATCAAAAATATTCTTAGGCTAACAAACACCAAAGTCAAGAAGATTGTGAATCAGGAAAACTAACCTGGTTTTCTCTGAAAGAAGCACAATCAAACCAAAGATGACGAACATTAGAAGCATTCCAGCATGCTCAAAGTTATTCATATGAATAGGATTCAAAGCCCCATGAACGAGAAGTCTGAGGTGTGTCGAATAGAAGAGCTCAATACAGAAATCAATGAAACCTCCAATTGCTACCACATAAAGTTCCAAATATTTCAACTTCCCATCAAAACCCGGAACAGGGCTCCAAACCCTTACCCTAAATGACTTGGGATTTGATGAATATCTAACAAGAGCAGACCATATATGCCACACACCAATCACAAGAAACAGTGTCCCAGGAAGAACATGCCCAGGAAAAGAACCCATCTACCAAATTCAAGATTGACCCAAAACTTGAAACTTCTCCAACACAATATCACCAAAAGGAAAAACACTCACTTTTCTAATATACCCCTGTTCTCTGTATTTATGCTCTGTAAAAAAAAAACTAAAAATTTAGCTTATCTAAAACAGATGAGCTAGAAATCTGAGCTCCTTGTACAGTTAACTTTCTGTAAGAATATATTCTTAAAACAAACTGAATCAGTCCCCACTTACCCAAAAAACGATACTGCACAATCTTTGAAGATAGCAAACTCATTAACTACAACCTGTTCCATAGAAGAAGAAAAAGAACAGCTGTTAAACTTAGTCGTGAACAAACAAAATTGGTCATTCACCAAACTACTCTTCCAACGCAAATCATAAATCAACTTTTTCAACGAAATAATTTCTCAAAAAGCCAACTTTTGATATGACAAAAGAGAATTCACAAAAAGTAGGGAATTCCGTGTATGCAAGGCCCACTAATGACAACTACATAAAAGTCAAAATAGTACCGCATTTTCACCAAAAATACAAAAAGATAAACACACCAAGTAAGTCATATATATGTCAATAAACCCCTCTGTTTTTAACCCTCGAAAACCAAAGAAAATTTCACACTTCCAGAACTGTAATTATCAAGATTTGAAAAACCCAATTTCAGATCTATAATTTATTAACCAATCGCAGCCCCACATAAGTCAAAAAGAGGGGAATTGCTAAAACCAAGAAGAGTTGAATAGCAAAAGGATAGTTGCAGGGAAATGTAACGCACCTTTTGTTTATGCGAATGGCGATAAAAGATTAGTGTTTGTTATTTGTGATGCAACAAAAACGAGGATAAAACTAAAAAGTAAAAGGAATGATGGGATCGGAGAAAGTTGAGATGGGGTCATAAGAGAAGACAGAGGTGACGGCAATTATGGACGTATTATTGAATCGAATATTCAATTTATATTTGAACCGTGGCCATCTATAAACTTATAGGTGTTTATATCAGATATATTATTATATTTAAATTTATAATTTATTTTATTCCATTAAATTATATAATAATAAAAGTTAACTAATTTTATTGATTAGATATAAACCTATAATACGAGTAAATTTTTTCAATAACTTTTGTTTTGTTAGCATGCGTTCTAATGTGGAATGTTATGGACAATTTCTTTGGCCGTACAAAATTTATAATTTCATAAGTACCAATAGTAAAGTATAGAATTACTATATAGGTTAATATGAATCAAATAAAATAAATTGAGGAAGTACATGTTAGACATGGATGAATGTTTTTGATTTTATTATTAATGATTTAATCAAAATAGTTTGGATGAAACAAAAAATTCATATTTGTATGCTATAACAAACTTTGCATAATTGCGCTTCATGACAAACATAAAACTCTATAATTTGCTATACATATATAATTGTATAATTCGCTGGCCTATTTCGCTGCAATTGTATAATTAGTTTTGCATACAGTTGAATCGAATTAAAATGTATGTATATTGCATAATTATAAGTGTATAGCAAGAAGATATATGTTTTTCTCGCTTTATACAAAAACACAATATATACACTTCTGTTGTATAAAGCTAGGGAAAATTGTATTTCACTGCAATTGTATAATTCGTTGGCCTTTTTCTCTGCAATATTTGAAGTAAAATGTTTGTACATTGTATAATTAATTGTATAACACGAAGATATACATTTTTGCATGTGTATATACAATTTTCTCTCGCTTTATACAAAACAGAAACAGAATTATACACTTCTCTGTATAAAGCGAGAGAGGCGAGCGAGAATGGAGAGTGGCGAGCGAGATTTTTGGGAGAGAGACGCTAGCAAATTTTAGCTAATGTTTGCTATGGAGCACAATTAAATCAAACCCTAGCTATTCCATTTAATTTAGGTTATTAGTTTGATATTATATACAATTTTCCCTAAAATATATAATAAAGTCTTAATATTACATACTAAATATTTGTTAATTAAAGTATTTTTACAAAAATAATAGTGGCCCCAATAACAATTTATCATTTTGTTTATTTTTCATACCTAATAACTAAAACTCGTTAGCACCTATCATTATCATAATAATTATTATCAATGTTGTCAACCATCAAAGTTATTCATAATCACCATTCACCGTTACCCATTATTCATAATTGTGTGTCTTACAAATTCCACTTTTAAAAGTTTAAAATTTTCAATTCTCCATGTTAGAATTATCTAAAGAAAATATTCGAACATTAATACCTGATATAGAAATTTCATTTGTAAATTTTTTGAATTTCAATATACTATTGCTGGAGTCTTTTCATGTTTAAGTTAAAAGTCCTATTTGTACAAATTTCATTTCCTCATTAAATACAACTAAATTAGCACAACCTTTCAAAAGATAGAATACTTTTTCTCTTTTAAAAAAATGATTTTATTTTTTTTTGGTTTGTTTGAAGAAAAATATTTTTTTTTATAATAGCTTTCCACGTGACATGTTTAATATCATAAGATCAAAAGGGTAATTTTGTAAACTTTAATTTAGGACCACATGATCAAAATCCTTGTTTTATCATTCTAAGAAGAATGACTTAGTTTGACTTGAAACAGAATTTAAGAAAAGAAAAATGACTTTTTAATCTTGTGGTTCTAAATTAAAATTGTGTCAAATGTATCAAAATGTCATTTAATTTTATGGTCTTAAACATGTCACGTGAAAAGTTAAATTTAAACTGTTGCCAAAAAAAGAAAAGAGTCATTCTTTTCGAAATAGACTAAAAATAAAATAAAATCATTTTTTATAAAACGAAGAAAGTATTTAAACTTCTTACCAAATTAAAATAGATTATTCTTTGTAAAATAAATTGAGTAATAAATATTATAAGTGTCACGATTTAAAATGTCTTTTTTTTTTACCCATTTCTTTTTTAAAAAAATCGTTACTTTTTGTCCATTAAGCTCTTACAAACTCAAGATAGGGACAATAATTTCTTTTAAAAAGAAAAAATTTGTATCATGATGATGCACGTACTGTGTAATTACAAGGAAAAAGTAAATTTTCTTATGAGAGTACAATTACTTTTTCGCCTTGTTGCGTTAACCTTTTTTTTAAGTTAATTTAGTTAATTTTAAAGTGAATTATAAATTAATTTTTTTATATAAATATTCTAAAAAATATTAATAAACATTCTTATTATTTCTTTCTAAAAATAGAAATCAACAAATTTAGATAAGAATTTAAACCCTTTTAGAGTCAAAAGTGCCAACTGGGATTAGCAAACACTTCACAGAAACATTGAAACTTAAATTGAAGCATATAAGGTTAGGACTTATTTCTTCTTGATGTCTAAAAGCACGTTGTATGAACAACAATCAACAGTCTTCTTAAGACAAATTTGACAAATTATATGGTTGCAATGTCTCCATAATTGATCCAACCTTTTCAAAGACATATACTTTCGTTAAGAGGTACTATTTTACTTATGAATTGTTTTTAAATTCATACATCAACATTATCATACTAGTCTCGGATTATAATATTTTATATTAATAATAAATAGATTAAATAACTCGCATGTTCCCACGCGCAAAATACCTCCAAGAGTCTTGGCTGCTAGAGGCACACCACCGCTTTTTTTCACAATCTCCTTTCCGACAGCCACAAGGTTGGGATTCAAGTCTTCTTGGTGTCCAAATGCACGTTGCAAGAACAACAACCAACAATCTTCCTGAGACAAATTTGACAAACCGGAATGGTTGCAAAGTTCCCATAGTTGATCCAACCTTTTCAAGACGAGTAGTGGTTATAACAGAAGCACCACTTGCTCCAACCTTCAACACTTGTCTTAAATTAGCCCACTTATCTTGATCTTCATTCCAAACATCATCTAACACAAGCAAGTATCTTTTTCCATTAAGTAACTCTTGAAGCTTCATTTGAAGTGGAGCCAAGTTCATCTCACCAAGTAGTGGCCTTCCTTCAATAAATTCTACAATTTCCTTTATCAACCTCTTCTCATTAAAATATTCCGAGACACAAATCCATATTCTGGGATGGAAATGCTCAGTTATTCTCTGATCATTGAAGACCATTTGGGCAAGAGTCGTCTTTCTTAGTCCCCCAAACCAAGTATTGGGAGGACTGAGAGCTCTTGGGCATTGTTTATCAGGATTTTCACTATCTCATCTTCCTCTTTGTCTCTTCCATAAATTTGTGGTTCAGTTAAAACAGAACCTGGTCAAGGGTAATACAAGATTTTAATTTTTTATAACATGAGGAAATGGGGAGAATGCAAATAAGCTTTTTTTTTTTTTTTTATCCTTTCTAACATTTTCTAAAGCTTTTGTCTCAACCAAAAGAAAACTGGAATGTTTTCGTTCATTACCAAACACACCCTAATTCTTTTATAAAGTTGAACAAATAGGTACACTCGTTCTACGTGACATCCTACATGGTGTCCTATGTATATTATATTTACATTCGTCCAATATGTCATCCACTTTATACGCAGCAGCATTGAGTTTCTGTAACCAGTTTTTAATCGCCTTGCCGTTGAGTTGCTTCATCTGAGCATCTTCAAGCACGGCTTGGATTGTAGAAAACCAAGCTCGAAAGACTTTCAAACTCATTTTCAAAACCGAAAAGCAATGAAAGTTCCCCTTCAACGAAAGAAGTGATATTTTCAATCACAACTTGAAGAAAAGCTTCAGCCATATGTGTAGAGTGAAATTAAATTGTAACACAAATAAACAATGAGTTCAAAATTATTGCTTTTGGTGTCATGAACAATTAGTTACTTCTTATAAATACACTAATTCGGAGATCAACAAATACATACTTTTCGTGTCATGAAAATTGCATATGGAATCTCAATCTACTTTGCTTTCCCTTTATAATTTGCAACGAAAAAAAGAATAAATATATCTTCGACCTATGTAAATGGTATATGTAAATATCGTTTGTCATATTTTTGGTATAATAGTGTCTTTGTCGTCCAAAAACTAGAGCATATAAGTCATTCACTTTAACCGAAGACTAAATAGAGACACGTGACACAATCTTATCCATTGATCCAATATTTAATAAATGTCGGGTCGGTGGATATGATTATGACACGTGATGTCCGTTAATATATATGCTCTAGTTTTTGGACGACGTGGACGCCAATGTCTCAAAAGTATGATGATGGTATCTGCATATCATTTACGATTGTTCGGATGTATATATATTCTTTTTCCCTAATTTGTATGCCAAAATCTTCTACACGCAACTTTTACTAATTTTGTAAGTAGATACTCCATGTGTTTCAATTTATATGATTTATTTTCTTTTTAAACAATTCCAAAAAAAAAAAAATGACACATTTCTATATTAAGTAACAATTTAATTTTAAATTGTCCATTTACCCTTAATGAAATGATTTATAATCACACAAATATTTATTTATTTATTTTAGACCATGAATTTTAAAAGTCTTCTTTTCATTTTTGAATTGCGTATCGAATTGAACTACTTCACATAAAATGAGAAGGAGGGAGTATACGAGATCTATTCCTAGCGTGCAGAAAAAAAAATGATGCCACTGAATATTACTAGAAAGCAAATAGACTCTATGATCTTAAAAGTAACATAGTCTATTAGATTTCACATAATAAAAGTTTTAATATACGAATAGATATTAATAATTGATTTGCTTCCAAAATACAATCACAAAACTACATCCAGCATAAACTGTATTGGAACCTCAGAAAGAAAAGAAAAACAGATCAAAGCTTAACCAATATACACATTCAAATAGTCATCCATTTGGTGATCAACTTTGTGCATTTTCACTCATCTACCAAATAACTCAATGCCTACAGCTAGCTACTTTGGTCTCATTCAAATAGTCATCCATTCAACTACTTGTACCAAAAAAGGCTCAAGTCCCTTCATAAACACTAGGACATGAGCCTTCTCTGACTAGCTATCTTCCAGAAGGATCAAGAACCGTTCGAACAGCATTGAAATTCCTTATATCCGTCAGTTTTCCAACAGAAAGGGACATCAGAAATTGGAGAATTTCTGGTAGTGTGGTGTTCAACAACTTTTGAAGGTTAATATACATGTGTATTACAAGTGTAACGAAATCAACATATTCACACCGTAAAGGGATTTGTTGGATAATGCATGAATTAAGAATTCTGCAATAACATAGGTCATAAAAGAACACAGATATGAACAGTTTTTCTTCCTTCAAATAACAGGAGAAAGAGGGGAAATGTGCAACTTATAAACAAAACAATCAAGCTGATGGAAGGATGTCCAAAGCAACTTCTTTCAAGGATGGCATTGACTCCTGTTGATGCAAGCAGATGTAGCTACTTCCTACTCTTCGGAAAACTTTCCAAGGACCAGGGTAACACCTAGTTTACAACAGACGGTCAAAGTAAAAAAGGAAACGAGCAAAATTCAGGTGATAACAAAACAATCTAACAAATAGTTCAGGCATTCAAAGCTTTGGTTAAAGAGATTACCTAAACAGGACTCCTCCATATCGTCCTTTAAAATTGTGAATATAATATACCGTCTCCATTTCAGGAAAAAGAGTCTTGGATAGTGCAGCCAGCTTCGGATAAAAGAATGGCGGATAATCTTATTTTGTCAAAGATAGCATGGAATACAGTAACTTAACATGAAACAATTGTTTAGAAGATATATTTTTTCTTCTGTGTAATTCTTAAAAGGCAGCGATATTTATACTACGATGTCCATCCTATTTCTGGTGCAATACGTTAGTCATTGCCACAATATGCAGACAATCATGCAGAGCAATAAGGAACTTCTATTCTTTGATGGATTGAAGAGAAAAAGATTGGTGGTAAGAAAGGATACAACCAGATCTTATTCGGTCAAGCTCTCCGTTGAATATAATCAGTTTTCTAGAAGTGTTCGACACTGCTGCTTTGTATAGCTCTTCCACGACAAGCATCTCTACATTGCAGAAATAAATGATGACATCATAACATTTCTATGAAAGCGATCATTTGATGTACACTATATATGGTGCGAGAGCTTAATGTTACCATTGACATTAAAGTATGGATAGGCGACCACAAAGAGTTCATCTTCTGGCTTGACACGATCAGCCATCTTGACCTTTTCGGTGAAACCGAAATCTTCGAAAAAAGAAGGCTTTGTCAAATAGTCCAACTTAAAAGATGCTCCTCCAAAAATTGATTGTCTTGCAAATTTCACTTCGTTAGCCTCCGGGAAAAACTGAAAGGTTTAATGCAAGTTTGATAGATCGCACCTGGTAGAGTAAAAGAGCTTAATGGGAAAAGAGGCGATCACAAACATTAACAGGGAACACTAATTTTGAAGTAGAAGAAGATGAAACTATAACGGAGCAATATGATAAGAGGAAAAAGCAACACCACTAGTTTTGTAGCACCATTCGTTTAACATAAATATGAAACATCTTCACTTCTTGTCTTAGTTGTAACAACAGCTTACATGTGAAACAAGAAATCAAGGTAGATTGATGCTGCGATATAGAGAAATAATTAACAACGCAAAGCTCATGCATGGACACAACATAGATGGACTCTACAAATAGCCGAAATTTGGTTTATTTTGTATAATGTGGCAAATAGAAGAATTAAGCCCACACTCTATGCAGTACAGTACAATAATAAAGGATTAAGTAATAGCCTTTCCCCCCAATTTTCTGAGTACTTCATTTATGGTTAAAATATTCCTTATATATATTCCGAACTACCAGATGATTGTTTCTTCCAATACAATGAAAAGAGCAATAGCCAGCAAGAGAGCCTTTTCGAGACTCACAGTATATAGTATAAAATTCATTTGGAACCAGAGACTTACAATTCTGGTCTTTGTGGCTTTCTCTGGTATAACCAAGAGATCACAGAACTCACGTATTAGTTGTATACTTCCAGTCATTTCTATTCCACCCTCACCGTCACCTGTTGATAGTTACCACGATATTAAAATCACCTGACATGAATGGTAAATCAGTGAGCTAGTGTAGATTATACCGATCTTCACATGCCCAAATCAGGAGAAACTGCCATGTAAGGAGGACAATTAGGCATAACCTGGTACAGAACCCAACCCAGCAGTTGGAAATTCAATTTCCTGGTACAAGAAAGTGTTTGCTCTTTAAGTCCACGGAAAGTATGGATACTGTATTATTTCTTTTAAGTGTCGTTATCACTTGAAGGCATACAGGGAAATTTGACTGACCATCAGTTGTCTGTTATCCTTCAATGCCAATTCAGTTGCTTCTTTAGCCTGTTAATCATGAAATTCCGGAATTATGATTGAAGAACTGCAGCACAGACTTAAGAAAGAGAAGTGAATAAAACGAGTATGCGATGAGCAACAAGATGAGCATTATTCATAAAACGGACATTTGATATAGAAAAAGTTTAGAGTGGTCGTGTACATCTACATACATTTCAAGAATTTTAAAAGATATCATGTAATGGACAGGAACTCCTGTGTCTTTTAGTGCGTGTTTAATCATGTTTTCACTTATAGTCTACGTTCCGATTTTAAGCCCCAAAAGTGGACAGATTTGGATGTTGATAAGAGCTACATAAAAAGTTTCAGCTGCACATTTACAAACATAAATCTTGAGAAGTGCAAGAGCTTAACAGAAACACAGTCCGATAGATGGTAATCGGACATGATGTGCATAAAAAGGTACAAACGGGAGCTTGACATTTCCAGATGTAATATATGAATTTGCAGCAAGAGGGATAAGAGCCTTCAATTATGAGAAATTTATAATTAGCAAAAAACAGTTAGGTCAAGAAGACTAAGTATACTAGCTTATATTAGGAATTCAAGCAAGTATTGGTTAGTCAGTCTTGTACGCACACAACAATGCCTGTTCATAAGGGCTTTGGGATAAGGATCCACACGAAAAACAGTCTTCTCAAGGCAGCAAGAGAGCTGCATGATGTGGATAGACACACCTTTTGTACTGTGGGGATGTAATTCCCATTTCAGAAGGCGATCAAAGTGATATAACAGAAACCATGGCAAACATTAGAAATGTAGAAAGCAGTTTATACTTTTATCT